CCAGAAACAAGGAAGTATCTTTTTTTAATTATTATTATTATTTTTATATATACCACAACATAATACTCACTATCTATTGCGGAACCCTGGGCTAGGAGCTACAAGCCTGAAGAGGAAGAAGGTGCAGTACCTGCTTTTGAGGTGCTTTGAACCGATAATCAAATACTGTGAAATAAGCACCTGCAGGGAATCAATGGAAGAGTGACTAACCGCGCAAGGAAGCATGTGTTTGCAGAATTTCTTCCACTGAAGAAATTATTTCCTTGTTCATATTCCCCTGACTGCTCAGAAGACAGCCGTAGGAGTTTTATCAGCAGCATACAGCACATAAAGTGACTGCTTTTATCCAAGCAGGCCACGTGACCATGAGGGCACATGCCTGTCCAAGTCAAGCAGTAGGAAATCTGATAGGGATGAGCAGAAGTGTTTGGCAAATTGAAAGAATTTATATAAAGACATCCTTCCTAATATACAATAAAAATGCCTCTTGATGTGTGAAGACAGGTTGAGTGGTATATTTTATACTAGAGGGCTTCAAAAAGTTCATAAAAGATACATATTATGGGGACCAGTGGATGGTGTAATGGTTACATGGCTGGACTCCCACATGGCCTACCACAGTTCGAGTCTTGGACCTGGAAGCATGAAACTCACACCAGATGTGTGTGCATGTGTGCATGCCCAAAATCCCGAGAGGAGAATGGAGGAGGAGGAATTGTGGCATGGCCATCTTCTCTGGGGTGGTTGTGGGGGGTGATTTCTCATTTTCTGTCTCTCTGGAGAGCACAAGTGCCCTATAGCAAAAATCTCTTTTAAAAAAGAAACATATTATGAAAAACACTGCATGGCTTTCCTTTTTTTTTTTTTTTTTTTTTTGCACCAAAATAACTTCCACTTTAATTCTACTTTCCGTGAACGTTTTGAAGTCTCCTTATATATGCAGTGTTTACCTAATGTCCACACTGGGCAAGAGTACAAAAGAAAGCTGTCTGTCGAACTCTTTGGAAGTTATAAACCACCAGCTAAAGTATGTTCTATCCAGAGCCCACGGCCCACGGCAGACCTCTCTTTCCTGGCCTAAGAGACACCGCCTAGCCCACCATGGCTCCAGGCACATGTAGGCTGGTTTCAAAGCCAACCTAGAGCAGAGCAGGAGGCTCACTGACAAGGAAGGAGTGATTTCTGAGAAAGCTGTACTGCACGTAAGAAAAGAACTGAGGTCATGGCCCCTAGTTCCCCTCCTACTCTTTGTAGTGAAGTGTCATCTATTACTGCTCATGTCTTAAAACAAAACTGTTTCTGGCTTTGTTTTTAATCTTTCACAGTGGCAGGGTCACTTATTCCAAAGCAATGGCTTAAAACTACTGGATTCCAACTTTTTAAAAAATACAACTGTTTGAGAGCCTGTTAATGGTTGTATGGATCAAGCCTACCCCATCTGCTCCCTGAATCTCCTAGGCTAAAACCAGCATCATGCACAGAGCCAGCGACTCTCCAGGTTAGAAGAGACTTTACAAGGCTCCTCATCTGACTTTGCAAGAGATTTGGTTTTTGGTTTTGTTTTTTTTGTTGTTGTTTTTGTCTTTGGTTTTGAGAAGTTTTTGCTATAGGGTATGTGCGCTCGCCAGAAAGACTCAGAGACAGAGATAGAGATAGAAAGCGAGAAATCACCCCCCAGGGGGGATGATCACACCTCAATCTCTTCTCCTTCATTCTCCTCTCAGGACCAGGGACATGCGCCTGGCGTGAGTTTAAGCCACTGGGTCTGGGACTTAAACTGCAGTCGACCACATGGGAGTTCGGCGACAGAGCCATTTACGCTAACTGCTGGTCCCCCAATGAGAGATTTTGACGCTATGGGCAACAGAGACACATCACTCAGTCCTGCATTTGCCTTACTCAGTCCTATAATTTTTTTAAATTTATTTTTAAATTTATTTACATTTAATCACATGTTTTTACAGTATACAGTTCTTTTTCCAACACAAATTCCATGATGTCAGTCAAGACAAAGATACTACTATACACATTATCATCAGCAAATAGCTTCTCGTTTTTTGTCAATTAAGCGTACTTTTACCACTTTTTCCTTCCACCTTTCCTTCCCTCCCTTCCATACTAAACTTTTTCCCCTCACATTTTATTGATTCACAAAAGTATGGACAAAACTAGAATCTAGTGACAAGTGCATTGTAATTTCCTTCTGAAACTTTTTTTCTCTCTCTCTCCATTCCCCCTTTTACTAAAGAGAGGTATAAACTAACTTATTTGCAAAAAAAATTAGGTTAATCTCAATTCGGTCTGTTGTTTGCACAAAGCCCCATAAGAATTCAATTTCTGATGCAAGGCAACAAATACTATTGTATTATTGAACTTATGCAAATAACCATTCTGCCACAAAATAAGAATGTTCACAAATATTTTCCAATTGCAAAGGGGTCAGGGAAGGGAGAAAAGTTTATGTTTCAGTTAAGAAAATTCTTTTACAAATTGCTGAACTTAACAACAACTCAAAAGAAAACAGTCATCTTTAAATCTGGGAGACAAAGCATAGAGGAAAGTCAGTAATGCTTTTATAAAAAAAGTCACATCATTCTATTTCCCCAGTTCAGTCTCTCTGAACTGTAATCTCTGTTTTGTTGAATTTGCAGTGTTACTATGGTCTGACCTTCCTGTTAACATTCAACAGCATTATTGATATTTCAGAACTTGTCCCTACCATTAAGTTGGCCTTTTTCTTGGTAATTTTTTGTTCTCTTATTTGTCTGTCTTCAGTTTTCCTGGTATAGCGTTCCCGTCAGAACTTCTCGAAGACCTGGTCTGGTGTTGGCAAATCCTTTTAGGTTTTGTTTATCTGAGAATGTTTTTATCTTTTCTTCCTACATGAAAAATAATCTTGCCTCGGGAACCAGCAGTTAGCGTAATGGCTATGTCGCTGGACTCCCACGTAGTCGACCGCGGGTCACGTCCCGGACCCAGTGGCTTAAAACTCACACCGGGCACATGTGCGCGCGTGCCCAAGATCCCGAGAGGAGAATGGAGGAGAAGGGATTGCGGCTTGACCATCCCCACTGGAGGGTGATTTCTCGCTTTCTGTCTCTCTGTCTCTCTCTGTCTGTCTGGCGAGCGCACGCGCCCTATAGTGAAAACCTCTCCAAAAATAATAATAATAATAATCTTGCCAGATACATTATTTCTGGTTGAAAATGCTTTTCACTTAATGCTTTGAATATGTTTTCCCATTCTTTGCTTGCTTGCATTGTTCCCGATGAGATGTCCAATGTTATATCAGGATGTCCTTTGAAAGTAACATGTTTTTCCCTTGGGAATTTTAGTGTCTTGTCTCTGTGGTTTTGGTCAATCTGGCTATAATGTACTTTAGAGAAGATCTTCTTGGGTAGATTCTATGTGGGGTCCTTTGTATTTCTTGGGTCTGGATATTTGAATGCCTTTCTAAATTTGAAAATTTTTTTCCAGGATTTCACGGAATAGATTATCAATGCCCTGATTAGTTTCTTCACCTTCTGGAATACCGATTATCCAGATGTTTGGGCATCTAATGGTACCTAGTATTACTCATATATTATGCTCATTTTGGGGGGTTATTTTCTCAGTCTTTTTGGTGAATTTTTCTAGTTTAGAGGTTCTGTCTTCTACATCTGAGATTCTGCATGATCTAATCTGCTTTTAATACTTTCAAGGGAGGTTTTGATTATTACAGCCTTCATCTCTAACAGTTCTGTTTGATTCTTTTTTATGGTGTGTATTTCCTCTTTCAGATCATGGAAGAACTTCCTCACCTCCTGGAACTCATTGTCTCTTTTCTCCTGCATTTTCTAGAGTTCGTTGTCTTACTTCTCTTGCATCTCTGTTAGCTTTGTTACTATGAATATCCTAAATTCTTTATCTGAAATTTCCATGAGTTCCATTGTACTATCTGTGGATGATGAAGGGCTGTTCTCTTCCCTTGGGGTGGAGAAATTTTCTTGATTCTCCATATTTCTGAGCCTCTGTGGTGGTTTCTGATCATCTGATGGATTATATGGTACTTCTTACCTTCTGGCTTTTCGCTTGGTGTTGAGCTGGAAGGAGAGGTTTGGGGCAAAGCATATAGTCTCTTGTTTAGCCAGGCAGGACAAGTGGCCTGGCCCAGTAACTGTCCCACAGGATTGTTTCAGGCACAGAATGTCCTAGCAGCAGTTGGAAGAGGTGCAGCCCACCCTGATCTCAGTGAGGGTATTGGTATACCTCCTGGACCACGGGTGCCCAAGTAGCTGCCGTCTTCTTCTTTTTTTAATAGAGGCTTTTGTCTTAGGGCACATATGCTTGCCAGAGAGAGACAGAGACAGTGAGAGAGGAAGTAGGGATGGCCATGCGGCAAATCCCTTCTCCTCCATTCTCCTCCCGGGATCCTGGGAACACAAGTACATGCTCCCAGCTCAAGTAGCCTTCTTGAGCTCCCAGTACCAAATACTATTGGCTAACTAAAAACCAAACAAACCCCAGACCACAAAATTTACCTATATTTAATGATAACAAACAAGCCACTAAAGAGGGAAGAAAAACAACCAAACAAACAAGCCACTAAAGAGGGAAGAAAAACAATTCTGAGGATGTAACTAAGTTTCACTCTCACGGAAGGACCATAGGCAAGGAAGCATATGAGGCAGTTTCTTTTAAGGTTACATAGAGATATGTTTTAGCAACAGGATAGAGGGAAGACTCAAACCACTTAGTTTACAGGTCATTTTTAAGAAGAAAAAAAAACAAAGAAAGGATTTGAAGGAAGTACTGGAATTGAATAAACTTTAACCCATAAGTGAGTAGCAGATTTAGCCAAGCTCAGAGGCTAAAACTCCTTTCTTTCATGAAATGTTTCCCTGAAAGGAAAAAAAATGCTAAACCAGAACTTTCTCGAAGGTAAGATCCTTCTGTGGCTGGAGGAGAAGCCAGAGAAAGCCTGTATACCAGTCTCTGTTCCCAGCCTGCCTGCTACATACCTGAGCTGGGTGCAGGTAGAGTTCAGGCCACAGCAAGCCACCATAGACACATACTTCTCCAGCAGCACATCCAGAACAACCGCCGGTCATGCATGCATTCAGCACGTGTTTCCTGGGGCCTCTTCTACACCAGGCATGTGTTGGTACTGAGGTAGACACAAAGAAAGGTATGGAACAATCCTAGCCTCGTGGAGGTCTGACCATATGTCACATCTGACACAGATGCAAGAACACAGGCAAGAGATGAAGGATCCTGACTTGGCTTTGAAACACCCAATCTATGTGGTCTGGAAGTTGCCCAGCGTTTCCAGATTTTGGTTTCTCCATTTATACAATGGTGGTTTAGGCTTGTCTGAGTCTGTTATTGTATTATTAACAGAAAAACCAGGACTGGTGAATTATAAAGAAATAAGATTAAATAACTCACAATTGTGGCAGTTGGAAAATCCAAGGACATTACAAAATGGTAGAAGGTAAAACTTTAGCAAAGCACGGTCTGTATCCACGTGGCTCTTTCTCTGCCATTCTGATCTCATTCACTCTCCTGTAGACCTACATAACTCAGTCATGGAGGCCCCACCCTAATGACATTATTACACTAAAGGTCCCACCCTAGAACACCAGGGAGGAGTTAAGCTTTCACTTAATAGTTTTACAAGATAACCAATACAATCAAATTGAACACAGATTTCTAGGGGACATCCAGTCACTGCCCAGTAAGACCAAATTCCAAAACATGCAGCTTTAGGGGATAAACCATGATCCAAACTGTAACAGGGCTGGAGGAGAAACTCCTCCAACTCTATGGTTGTTTCCACTTCTCTTTTTGTCTCCGCATCAAGTTCTTTTCTTGTCACTGTGGGTGAGATTTAGTGGTATATAAGCACCTGTGTCCTGAAGGAAGGTCTCTGAAGGAAGCAGAACAATTCCATAGGATGGGACCTGAAATTCTAAATACAAACTCTATTTCCAAAGATCTCACAAGGCTTGGGTTGGAAAAATGAACCATTACAAATGATGGGTTGGGTCTCTTTCTCTTTTCCTCCTTTCCACTTGGGGCACCCCTCACTCCTTTCAGAAGAGTCCTTCACGTATCTACTGGGTCCTCAGGTCCTTATGTTTATAGGGCCCTGGCTGCCCAGGCCCCTGTGCCACCTAGCCACATGGGGGCGCCGTAGCCACCCCTTGGTGCTCCTCCATCTGTGAGTTGTTGCAGCAGCTGAGATGTCTATACTTTTTCCACTAACAGTGCAATTACTCATACTCTCTAGGGATGTCCTGATACCACTATAACCTTACAACAGAAGAAGGCCCCTCCTGTGGCCTCTGCTTCTTTTGTTGATACTTTAAGTTGTTTTGTATGAGCATTCTCTGTGCTGTTTTCAAGCATTTGGGGGACAAATCTCCCCCCCCCCAACTTTTTGCTATACTATTGCACTGTCCCAAAGCAGCCGTGCCTTGTCCAAGGGTTTGGCCAGGGACACTTCAGTCTGGACACAGTGGTTAAGAGTTCATGGTCAAGGACCAAAATGTCTGGTTTGAATTCTAGTTGTTATACTTAGAATTTGCCTGTGATGGGGCAGGGATCCTCAATCCCCAGACCACGGACCAGTACTGGAACTGGGCAGCGAAGCCTCATCTGTATTTACAGCTGCTCCCCATCACTTGCATTACCGCCTGAGCTCTGCCTCTGTCAGATCAGCAGCTGCATTATATTCCTATAGGAGAGTGAACCCTGTTGTGACTTGCATATGGGAGGGATCTAGATTGTACACTTCTTGTAAGAATTTATTGCCTGATGATCTGAGGTGGAGCTGGGACAGTGATGCTAGTGCTGGGGAACAGGCACAAACATTGCATCATTGTGAATTGTATAATTATTTCATTACATGTTTACAATCTAATAATAAGAGACATAAAGTGCACAATAAATGTAATGTACTTAAATCATCCTGAAACCATCCCCCGCTCTCCAAGTCCATGAAAACAATTGTCTTCCATGAACAAGTCCCTGGTGCCAAAAAAGGCTGAGGACCACTGATGTAGGTCAACTTACTTCTGCTCTCTGGACTTCAGTTCCTCTTGCATCAAATGGGGTGATACTATTTACTTCAAAGGTTTGTGATGACAGGTAAATTATTACATATCAAACGTTTAGATCAGGATTCACTGGGTCAGTAAATGCTCAATATTACCATACATTTAAAGATGAGTAATTTTCAAAGAGCTAGTAAGAGCCAAGTTTACTTGTGTTATTGTCTTTAGATCCTAGTACTTCCTGGCACTGAACAGGTGTTTATTTGGTGAATTAATTAATGAATAAATAAATAAAGCAAACATGAGCCCAAAAGGCTGGATGGAGAGGGCCGCCAACCAGGAAAACAATCACAAGGCTACCACCAGGAAGGCTCAAGGGCTTCACTGAGTTCTGGGAAAGCAAAGGAGGGGACAACAGGAAGCACAGAACTCCCCTCCATTCATCCCACACATGCAAGAAGCTTCCCAATAGCACATCTGCCATAGAGCTACCTTGGACAAGTTGGGAACGTGATGACACTGTCAATGGCTCCCATCTTCTGCATAGCCCTGTTTTCTAAGGGTGAAGTAAGTTCTTTTCTTGGGAAAGGATCTGGAGTGGGCGAGGAGGCTTAGGAAGAGAAGGTCTCAATTATTTCGAATCTCTTGTGCAGTCAGTTGTATATGAGTTTTATTTTATTTCTATGCTTTATGTGATGATACAGGATGAAGAAAGTCATTTATTGATGACGCAGCACTTGGACAACTGACGCTTTAGATCCCACTTGCATGTATAGCGGTTTCACCATCCATGCAGTTCCTGTTACCACCCCATGTAAGCATGTCCAAAGGGAAGGAACTGGATCTGGATGGCAACTCATGGCTCCAGACACGCCCCACAAAACTACTGTCTCTTTGTCTCTTCTCTCCCCCTCTTGCCTGTCTCTTCCACTACATCTACCAGCAATCATTTCATACTTTTTATTTCCCTTCCTCTCCTGCTGTAGGTCAGGGGCTTGATCACTGACCTGGAAGTGCTGTCGTGTATCTGCTCCGTGAAGAGCAGCGGCTGGTGGCTCCAGCCCTCAGGAAAAGTGGGCAGCACTGATCGTGTGTGCTAACGTCATCACCCTCCTTTATTCATTGGTTCACACACTGCATCATTCATTGAAAAAAATTAAAACTCATCACCTTCCCCCAGAATGAGGTTACAGACTTTAATTACAAGAATCAGAAGCTGTCGTGTATCTGCTCCGTGAAGAGCAGCGGCTGGTGGCTCCAGCCCTCAGGAAAAGTGGGCAGCACTGATCGTGTGTGCTAACGTCATCACCCTCCTTTATTCATTGGTTCACACACTGCATCATTCATTGAAAAAAATTAAAACTCATCACCTTCCCCCAGAATGAGGTTACAGACTTTAATTACAAGAATCAGAAAAGCCGTGACATTTTAACTGTCATGGCTTTTCCTAAAGGAGCATTACCTCAATTGATCTGTTGAAGAAAAATTATTCATGATACTTTTTAAAGATGGCAAGGCAGACTTTATATAAAGAGAGGACAGGGATGAGACTCGGTAGAGGACGACTGTGATGGGGTCAGGCAGTAGGGAGAGAGTGGACTCAGCTCCATTCCCACAGGACAAGTGGACACTGGTAACCAAGGAGCAGAGTGGGAGTCAGTGGATGAAAAAGTACTAAGAGGAAATATCTAGATTTCTGGCTAAATAGATTGGAAAGGATTATTGCTGAAGGCGGGCCAGGGTGGTCAGGCACCAGGGGTGGGGGATTTTGGGTAAACTGCTTTAGGAGGATTCTTGCTCAAGCTGGATTCTTCTAGCACAGAGAGGAAACCCAAGGCTGAACTCAGTCAAGCCAAGGGCTAACTCAAGTTTCAGTCAAAGGGGCGTCTTTGTCAAATCCAATGCTGCAAAGCAATATTTGAAATTTTACGTGGTTGTGTAAACTCTTGAATGCCCAGGGAGAAGTTTGACATCAATGTCCAACATCAGCTTTTTGTGATTTCTTCTGCTCTGGTCATTTTGTTTTATTTTCTCTTATTAAGGGCTCGGACCAAAGAAAACATTCCCTCTTCTTTGTTACAAACAGAATTCGGTAAGTTTACCAAGTTAATCTCAAAACCGAATCTGGGCCAGCACAACTGTAGCACAATGGTTTGCACTGTGTAGAGGATGCCAGATCGCACATGGCTAACTGAAGTTTAAGTATGTGTTCAGTGACCTTCTGTCCTCCAGCTTCGGCTGCTCTTTCTTCCTTACACTCATGTGGACAGAAACAGCTTGAAAAACATGCTAGGCATGCGTGTGTGCGTGCCCAGGATCCAGGGAAGGAGGAATGAAAAAAAGGGGATTAAGACATCACCAGGTTGTAATTGAGTTCACTCCCTCTCTCTCTGTCTCTGGTGCTGGCATTAAAAAAAAAAAATCAAAACGAAACAAAACAAATTATAAAACTGATTCTGTTCTCTCCGAAGCTAAGATTTCTCCGGAAGGAGCAACCTTCTAAGCGCTTAACTTAACTTAAATTCGACAGGAAATGTCCTTAGAAGAAGTCCAAGTTCTACGTGAAGATAGATACATGAACTCTTTCCTTTCCAGAATAGCTATACCATGTTGGAATGGTGTGACTTGTAAAACAATGTTTAACCTAAACTTAATCCGCATTCAAATGCTTTAAAAAAGGAAGCCATGGAAAAATATGAAGAAAAAATTTAACTCACCCACAGTTCTCCTGACCGGAGGCAGACAGAACATGATTTCCAAATGGAAGATTTAGAGAATCCAACTTGAATTGTAAGCTTGTTGTGCCTTCAGGGTGCCTTCAGTGGTAGGTGCTCAGAGCATCGGTCTCATCTCACCCTTCCACATAGCAAACTTTCTAAAAGGGCATGATAATTGCCGCTTCGAGCAAGTTAGTCTCACACAGTAATTTCAGATCTTGTAGCCTCCGAGTAGGTCAACAGCTATATTTTTGCAGGAAGGAACTTTGAACTAAGTTCCAACTTCTAGGCTGGTAGCAGTAATATGGAGGAGCAAGTTGGTACAACGCAGTGCTGTCAGAGCACAAAATATCAACAAATCAAGTTTTAAAGATTAATTGGCTTTTATTATTGACTCATGAATCAGGCAGAATCTAGTACACAAAATGGACAGGAGCTCGGCCATGTGGGGCAGAACACTCGGTTTTTATAAGGTAACCTGAACAGGTACAAGGAAACAGCATAGGGCAGAAGTGGATTGATTGGTATGGGGTTACTTCAGGTTACTGTCTTTGAATGAGTTCAAGGAAGTTAGAGAACTTCCTTACCATCTCTGCTCAAGCTGACTAGACCACTTTGGATTGGTTGCTGTGAATCCTCTGTTTTTTTGTTTGTTTTTTTTTGTTTTGAGAACTAGCCTGGTTGGGGATGTGGCTATCATCTCTCTCCTGATTTCTGGGAAGGTTAGGGTGTTGGTT